GAACCTCATTTCAAGCACAGGCTCCATTCTTCTTCACCAGCGAACCTTTAACCAGAGCTGGCAGCAGAATTATTGAGTTAACTCACCCGGCTAAGGACAGTGCCAGGGAGGTAAGTGGACAGATGAAAGCTCCACTCCCTGACCATGTGTGCCAGCCAGCAAGGGCACTGGGTGAGCCCTCGGGGCTGGGTGGCATGGCCGACTCCTAGGCCAGGCCCAGCGCCCCTTGAAAAGGCCAGCTCATGGGAGAGCCTTCTCTCAAGGTCTCTCTTCACTGCCCCCCCACCCCCCATCCTGCCCTCAGGAAGTGATCCGAAACAGCAGGAAGCAGGACAGATGGCTCTGGTGAGTCCCAACTGACCAGGAGTTGACTCCACTTCTCATAAAAGCATTTGGCCTAAAATCAACTGCCAGTCAAGCTTTCATAACATCCAAGGGCATCCCAATTATTCAAGAGCTCCTCTGGAATTCTCAAAATAAAATAGCTTAAATTCACTTTCATTTTTAAAGGTAATGCTTGACACCTGGTATGTCCTATGAGGGAGCCTGTCACAGTATCAAGCCACTGACAACAGAGTACCCCTGTGCCCGGGTCTAGCTGGCGGCCACTGGCTTCGACATAAAGAAGCTGGCTTGCTGCTGAAAGTTGAGAAGAAACTTATGACCACTTTGAATCCAGAAGCCCAAATTAGTTGGAAAATTACTAATATTTGGCAAAACAATTCAGCAATTGTCTAAAACGCTGAGGGGAACTGAACTACAATCTATGGCCATCCTCCAGGTAGGAAAGAATAAAACAAAACCCCCAAACTTTTTGTTAAAGATTGAATTACCAAATTAGAGGAAGGAAAGAAATGCAGCTGCTGAGGCAGATTTGAATTTCAGTTAAGTATTCTAATACCGTGCAATTTTCATCAAAAACAAGAATTCCCAAAAAACACAAGAGGACACGAGAAGCCACAGAAGGCCGTGAAAGGGTGGATGGAGCAGGAAGCTAAGGAGGCTACGCTGAGGTGAGGCCAGAGGAACCCCACTGGCCCCCGCCAGGGACTCACCCCCCGCTGAGGGAGGGGCTCCCCTCCTCACACGGACGCAGGAGACGGCATAACTCAGATCAACTCTGCCTGACAGGAGCTCTCTCACCGCCCTCAGCTGCCCTCACTAAAGCGAGGCCGAGCTTGAGAATTTCAAGAGGGAAATGCCTGTCATCCAGGAAGTGGCCTGGCCAGGCCACCCCTGCCAGAGGTGGCTGGCTTCTCAGTTTTTCCAGTAGTGTTGACGGTGACAGGATGATCTCTGCACATTCTTTGGCTGGGTCCCCATCTGCAGCCAAGGGAATGCCCTTCAAGGTGGCTGGAGCAAGGGCTGCAGTCAGAGCCACGCCTGATCGAGTCCGGAGGTACCCTGCTGTTGGGTCCCCTGAGCACCAAGCCCCCATACAACCCCCCGAAGCTGTGGCTTATCCAAAGTGACACATCTAGCTAGCAGCACAGGCCCAACTGGAGCCCAGGTGTCCCAACTACAACCACCCACCTCCAGCCCCTTCCCCCGAGTTTCCTTGGCAGCGGCGTAGTGGAGGAAATCAAACCCTGGATGGAGCCAGGCACTGCGGCAGACACTGATGGACACTGCAGTCAAGTCCATGAACCCAGAGGAGTGAGGCCTTTGACCTGTCAGGGGCAGCTTCTTAAGGGCACAGAAGGGAAAAAAACAAAAGCAAGTTTATACTCAGAGGGAAACATAATCTGTGATTATAAATATTTTATGAGCAAAGAAAGCAGTACTGGCTGAGAGACTGGGGTGTGGAGGGTGGACAGCAAATTAGATCCCAGTTTGCAAAGTGATAGGGCGGCTGGAAAAGCAGTAAAGCCGAGGCTATTCTGGGCTGTGTGCTGCGAGGGCCTGCGTCACCCACGCAGTGTGGGCCCTGGCCAGCGGCTTTGTGGAAACCATAGCCTTCCAGCGGTCAGCAAGAACACCTTGGGAGGAGTGGTTGAGCCCGTGGAAGACCAGAAGAGAGGACAGCAAGGACAGTCATTTGAATGACTTGGGTAAACCTCAGCACCTGGGAGGCGGGTGAGGGGATGCAGCTGAGCGGCCAGTTCCCCGCAGACTCGATGATGCAAGGATGAACACATTTTCTGCTGACTAAGGGTGGGGCAAGAAGTGAGCCTGACCCCAAAACACAAGTGACCTGCAAAGCTAGACAGCAACTCAGATCAAGCCGCCCCATTCAGGGCGAAGGCCCAGCCCCCAGCAGGTAGTGCTGGGCCAAGAATATCAATTCCACCTTTCCTTTACCTCAGGACAGGGGTCTCTTCCCCCTGAAGCCTTTGGGAAGCAGCCCAGAAAACAGGAAAATTAAGAGCTTGCTGAGTACCAGCTGCTGCAGCTGAAGAGACACTCACCACTGGCAAAGCAGGCCTGGTCTGGGTGTGAGTCCTCCTCCGTGGCCAGCCAGCACTGCAGCAGACCAGGTCGCAGATTCTGCTGGTCCTTCCAGAGGCCAGATGGAGAGGGACATTAGCTCCTGAAAAACCCAGAGGTGCTTTAAATGCAGCTTAGTCGAAGGAGCCCTGGGGAGCAGTGCACTCACTCCTCTACCAGGAAGTCGAACACTAAAAGCCTGTGTTTGCTTCCCTGCACTCAAGGCTTAATGGGCAAGAGGCTCCAACTGGATCATCCTCCGCTAGGACCACAGCTAGTGAGAATCAACTCAAGCCGGAGAGGCTTCATCAATGGCAAACGACCCCACTCGTTGTGGGAAGACCTGAGTTGGAAGTTGCAGGATCAGGCTTTAAGACCAGCCTTGCCACCTCTTAGTTGTAAGACCCTGAGAAATCATCTGACCTCTGAAACTCAGTGTCCTCATCTAAAAAACGGGACCAGTGCCTGCCAAACCTAAGGAATGAAGAACACCAAGAATATGCACAAACACATAAATGCTTTCAAAATAGAAACTAAGTGCTATTCTAAGCGATTATTTATATCCAGCTACCTACTTGACATCTGTTGGATTTCTCAAAGGCACCTCCATTCAGAGCCGCCCCCTGACACTCCCCGCACTTCCTCCCACACTCTCAGGCCTCTCCCAGGGCACCCCAGCTCAGAGTGCAGCAGGATCAACCGTGCAGGCACGGAAGCCAGAAACCTAGGACTCATGCTCAGCCCTCCCCTGCCACAGTTAACACATTACCAAGCCCAGTCAACTCTGCCTCCTAAAGGCTTCTGCTCCCCTCCATCACCACCATCTCAGTCCAACATATCTCGCCCAGTCTCCAACAAAGCCTCTGTCCATACATTCTGGCCTCCCTCAGCCCCTCTCCACAGAGCAAATCTAACCATGTCTCCCCGCCCACCACCCACACTCTGCTTGCTAAATATGCTGTTTAATACAACAGTATTCCAGTGCCCTCCAGATAAGGAAACCTCCTTCCCAGGGGCTTATGAGGCCGTGCACGGTCAGGCCTGCTCCTCCTCCAGCCTCGCCCCACACCATGCTCCCTCTGGCTCCCCCTGCTCCAGCCACAGTGGCGTTTTCCTCGCTCCCTGGTAGTTACCCCATTCCCTCCTACCACAGGGTTTTTGCACATGCTCTTCCCTCTGCCTGGAATATTTCTCCCCTCATCTCTCACCTAGCTAATGCCTATCCATTTATTTTTACTAAGGTATAAAGTATACAGTTTCATAATTAGTTACAGATGTATACACTCACCTAACTCCCACCCAGACCTAGATTTTGAACACTTCAGCACCCACAAGGTCCCCTCTTGCCCCTTATTCAGTCTGCACTCCTGCCTACCACCGGGGAACCACGGTTCCGACTCCTATCGCAACGCCTGTTCATTCTTCAGAACGCAGCTGATGCAACGCTTTCTCAGGAGGCTGCCACCAATCCCACGGAAAAAGTCTAATCCCTCCTCCATAGGCACTTGTTACACTTAGGGATTTGCATTTGTTTAAGTAACTGTGACTTGTGCCCATCCCCCAGGACACTGTAAGCTCCAGAACAAGGACAGTATCTGCTTCCACTCACCTGTTTCCCAGTGCTGGCACATGCTCAGTAATGCTAATAGAAAATAGCTAATACCTGTCAAGTGCTTATTATTGCCAGGCACTTACAGATACTAACTCAATTCTCACGTCAGCCCTCTCAAGTATGTGCATTATCATATCCCCATTTTACAGGTGAGAAAACTGGAGGACGGGAAAGTTAGATAACTCTCCCAAAGCCACTGAGGGGTGAGTGGTGGAGTCAGGATAAACACCCAGGCAGCCTGGCTACAGAGCACGTGTTCTTAGTCATCAGGCCACCCCGCCTCTCAGAGGCCACTGGATATTTAATGAGTAATATTTAATGAGTAAGTGCCCAAGATGTTTTGAATAAACAAATGAATGAACTCATAAATGAGTTGATGAGGTTCTATCAAAGGAACCAAGGGGAACCCCAGACCTCCCCAAGGAGACCAACACAAAAATGAAAGATAAATTGTCACTGAATCACCTGCACAGGTCCCAGACTGAGTCATCTGCAAAACGCAAGGGCTGGCCCACCGCCCCAGCAGTGAGGGAAGAAGTTGTCTGCTGTGGGCATGGAGCAGCGCTTTGGTTGCGGACACAGAAAGGACTACCCTCTGGGTTCTGCCAGAGCCTAGAGGCAACGTCCCACTAATTTAACAAGTCACTCTGCTCCTATTCATGCCAACCCAATAATCTTCACAACCATTTCACACCTCAAGCCCTCTGACACACGGAGAGGACACTCTGAATGGGAAAAAAAGGAGGATGCCTGGGTAGAAGTGACAGATTCCACCGTGCGTCCGTAAGTGGGCTTTCGGTCTGTGCCTCCGTGTTCCTGAGCCTGAGACTCCTGGAGGAGCCCAGGCTGCTCCGTGCACACACTGCTGCCTTATGCGGCCAGACATGGGTCAGCCCCCTTCTGACTGCTTCAGTGCCATTTACCTCGCAACCACATTTCCGAAAGCTCAGGGAAGAAAACATACATGAAAATGTTTATTTCTCACAGGACACTGTTCCCCAGCCACGGGTCCCAAGCTCCCCATCAGCAACAGCGCGGTTTTTGGAACTGCTCCATTCGTGAGCCCCACTGCCGCCAGCGACCTGGGCTCTGTTCACACAAAGTTCTGAGCAATGGCCAACACCTTGGAAAACTCGCCTTCCCTCTGGCGTAGGCTGGTGGGGATGGGTGTCTTAATTCGGGTGCCCACAGGGTTCCCATTGTCCTCGATGAGGACCACGTTGTTGGAGTCAAACCTGGGGGTCATCCGAGGACCGGGCATGCGATGCCCCACGATGAGCGCCTTTTTCTTCTGTCCCTTGATGGCCAGCAGTATCTGGTCGCCCACCTTGCCCACCCCACTCTTGTTGTACACGTGGATGCACCGAGGAGGGCGATGGTACGGGGTGTTCCCCAGGGCACTGTTGTCCACCACACGCACGCGAGTCATCTTCTGAATGGCACTGCGGGTCCCCGTGGTGCTGATGGGAAAGAAAAACGTCTGAGGTCTGCACCTCCCCCGGTCAGGGTGCAGAGCCTCTGGGAGGGCAAGGCTCGGGAGAGTGCGCACGTTAGCCTCGGCGCTGAACGGAGAACCACCCGGGGCTCCAACAGAGAGTCAGGGGCTTGAGGCCTTCTCTGTGCCCAAGAAAGTTTCCACACAGACAAGGTCTGGACTTGGACGGGCATTAAAGAGAGCCCAATCTTCTGTTACAACACACTTCAGGGAAGCCTTAACTTAAAGGCTCTGACTTCCAAAAGGACTCTGAGGATTAAGGAAATACCTTATGGGCCAGGCCTCACCCACTGCCTAACCTGCAAAACCTGCTCCCCCAGATATACTGATTCCCAAATTTTCTCATCTATGTGTTGCTGGGAACCAGAAGGTATGAGTGAGCAGGTTTGCTAAGGGAGTCCCTTGACACAACACAGCAGAAACTGTAAATAAGTCAAGGTAACAATCTTTTGTTTTAATGCATTTTTCCCCACTAGAAAGGATTTTTTTTTTAATGGGCACCTATTAAAGGCAGACAGGCTATTATTAAGCAATCCGGTGACAGTGGGATTTCTAGTTTCTGCTGGTAGCACCTTAAGCACTGAATGTTCTCCAGGGTGACCCCAGGCCCTCTTCTTTCACTCCACGTGCCTGCTCTGGGCAGTTTTATCTGTTCCTATTGCTTCCAACTAGTCAGTTCCATCGCCTTGCCCATTTGTCTCCTGTATTCTAGTCCTGTATTTCCACTCTGAACTCACGTGTCCTACAGATACTGCAAACTCAGGAGGTCCCACACTGACCTGTCGCCTCCCCTTGCAATCCTCCTCCTGCGGCTACATTTCCCATCAAGACCATGGCTTCTCCAGAAACTCCAGCACCCAAGCCATTCTCCTCTCTCTCCATCGACATCCACTGCCGTCAAGTCCTGCTGATACTACCTCCTAAGCATCTCTGTCCTCTCCCTCCACCCCACCAACACTTCCTGAATTTGGCAACTCACTCTCTTACACCAAGATTATTACATTTGTGTCCTAACTGGTAACAAGTACATTTCACTCTGCCAACCAAAAGCTCTTAATAGAATATAAAACTGAAGCCACTCCCCTGCTCAGAACTGTTCAATGGCTCCCCGTTGTCTATACTGCCAACAGCCTGGCCCCAAGTCACCTGCCTTCTGAGGTCCACCATCTCCTACCACTACACACCCACTCCGTGACCCAGTGGCCATGAAGCCCTGGAGCTCTCCAAGCACCGTGCCTCTCTGCCCTCCCTGGAGGCCTGGACAGGCCTGCTCCCCTTCCCTTCTGGGAAGGCCACCTCCACTCTCCTTTCCTCCTCCGGCTCCCTTAGCAGCTCTGGCCTCAGGCCTTCCACAGTAACACACAAACTTCTATTCTTACACTTGTCACATTTTCTTAGAGTTATTTGTTCCCAAGTTTGCCCCCATGGCCAACTGTGAGAAGTCTTTCAGGGCAGGAAGCAATTCTTATTCATCTCTCTATGGGCAACCCAGGCACAGTGCTCAGCGAACACTTGCGAAATGAGCGCATGAATGGGGCCAAAAGGCACGTTCGCCAACGGGAACGCAGCCTGTGTCCTCCCCCTGGCCCGGCGTCTAACAGGAGGGGAGGCTGCCACATTTCCATCATGCTTGAGTTGTTGATAATAAGCATGTAACTTTTACAAAATGACTCCATTTCTAAAAGGGAAGGTTCTATGCACTGGAGGAATGATAAGGTCAACAGATACCAGATTCTCTCTAAGTCTGGCAAGGACTGAAAAGTTTCATCTTTTACCCCATGCTGTTGCCTCTCCCGCTAACAGCATCGGCACGTCCTTGTCCATGCCCCTCACCTGACCGACCAAGCCCCAGCCCAGTCGGATTCTTCCAGCTTCCTTGACCCCAAGCCCACCTCCCGGAGTTTCCACTTCTGTTCTAGTTGCCATAATACCCAGACCCAACTGGAGACTTACTCAAAAGATGCAGCTCAAAGAACTTAATGGGAAAAGTTACCTGAAACAGCGCTGGCTGAGTGCTCTGCTTACATGGGCGACAGGACCCCAGAGCCCAGTAAAGAAAGCCATTGGGTACCAAGAGGGAAAATCCTGCAGAAAAAGAAAGGGAAAAGGATTTATTTCTGAGTCAGTGTCCTTACTCAGAGCCAGTTTTTGTTGTCGTTGTTGCTGTTTCTTAAATAAAACACTGCTGCGGACTTGTGTGGGAGACGGCATTTCTGGCACAAGACCGTTAGTCACTAAGTACGAATCTCAGTGGTTAAAAGACATGAAGACGATTAGCTGGAACTCCAGCTACAATTTTGCTGATCCATATTCTTTTTTTTCAAATCCTCATCTGAGGACATACTTATTGATTTTTAGAGAGAGGGTAAAGGTGGGAGAAAAAGAGGGAGAGAAACATCAATGTGAGAGAGAAACATTAACTGGTAGCCTCTCGCATGCACTCCCCAACTGGAGACTAAACCGACAACCCAGGCGTGTGCCCTGACCAGGAATTGAACCTGCAATCCACTGAGCCATGCTGGCCAGGGCTGCTGATTCATATTCTAACTGGGGTCAAAGAACTGGAATGACCCACAGCAGGTCTCGCTATACGGAATACAACAGCTCAGAGAATGCTGTCATCATCACATCACCTCCACAGGCAGAGGGGAAGCACCGATCCTCTGGTACAGTCCACAGCAGGGACCGCCTTCCAAGTCCTTCGCAGAGAAAATCTGCACACCATTGCCCTTGCTGACCCCCATGGCCTCCTGAGACTAGCACTTTTACTCCCTGAAAGCAGATTATCTGAGCACCTGCCCAGGCTGTCTGTCACCACATCACCTTTCTCCCAAATGTAAAAACCAGAGCTGCCCAGGTGTCCAGAACACCTGGACAGCTCAAGGCTAGCAGAGTAGAGCCAAAGGGTGCCCTGCCAAGTCCCTGACCAAGGCTTCTATTTGGGTCAGTTTCCCAAACTACCACCCCGTACTGCAGCTAAAAAGGGGGGTCGGGAGGGCAGGTCAGAGATATAAAAGCAAACACCAACCCAACACTGATGACTCCAGCTTGCAGAACCTCAACCCGGTGGCTCCCTAGAACCAACAAACATAAGAATCCTCAGTTTCCTGCAACACCTGGGCATCAGCTAGGGGCCTGTTTAAGAAAAACCTTCAAACAACTACTATTTCCTGCTGCAAAACACGCCTGCTCTTCCCTCAGACCGCCTGGCCGCAGAGGGCCTCATTCAGGAGCTCTGCCGAGAAAGGCCTCTCTCTACCACCACGGTGTTTACATGTAGCTGTGCCTTGTCCAAGTTCACAGCACCTCAGATAAGGTTTTATTTCACAAGAGGGGGGGAAAACTCACTATTTACTTCCACAGGAATATCTAGAAACACACTTCAGAAATGCCTTTTAACTGTAATTTAGCCTCAAATCAGAAGTTTACTTTCCAGTGTTTTCTTTATGACAACACAGTAAGCATTGGCCAAAATGTAGTTACGATTAGAAAATTCACTGCAAAAGAAGTCAGCAAACACAGAACTACTAACACCTGACACACAGGGCTGAGGACTGTCAGGTGAGGCAAGCCTCACCTGTACAGCAAGGCACCCCCGGCAAAGGAACTCTGTGACACATACTGCAAGACTCCCTCACAACACGATGAGGAGATAAGCCATGCAAAGCACAGGGCATGGTGCCCGGAACTCAGTACCTGTTAGCTGTCTTCTTCTTCTTCGTCATCACCACTGTCACATCGGCACTAGTCACATCTCACTTCACCGATTAGGAAACTGACATCCAGAGACATGAAGTGACTTACATAAAGTCCCACAAGTAGCCAAAAGCAGAACCAGAACCAGAAGCGGACCCAGCTTCTGTCCAAGCTCCTTTTTACCACACCCTCCAGCCTCACTATGCCATCCAAAACTCATGTCACACAGGGAGCTCCAGGTAAGAACCCAGATAAGGGTAATCTGGTCTTTTTTCTGTTTCCTTTATGAACAGTTATTGAGTAGTTATAATGTATCAGGCACCAGACTAAATGCTTTACATTATCATCTCAATTAACCCTCACAAACCCTCTGCGATGGGCACTATCATTCGCCCCAGTTTGTACATGAAGAAATGAGGCTCTGAGATGTTAGATCACGTGTCCAGGGTCACACAGCCAGGAGTAACAAAGCTGCAACGTGAACCCAAGCAACAGCTTCCTGAACCTATGCTCTTAACAGAGTTAACATGGTAACTTCAACTTAAATATTAATACTTTTCCAACTGTTAAATCATCCTCATTCCAACAAGAATAGTGACATCACAGGCACATTTTACTCATACCCAACTCAATGCCTACAGAATCAACTGAGATGTAGACAAACATCGGGTGAAAATGATTCACTTTAACCCAATTCAAGTATTGAAGACAATCTATAGTGTCTGTGACAAGAAGAGCTCCATCCTCTGAGCAATAATTAGACATCGGCTTTAAAAACAAAACAAAACAAAACAGACAAAAACCACAGCTCTGAAAAGCAGTCCTTCTGGTCCAGGCCGCAGTTACCTGCAGTCTCAGCCAAGCGTTTCCATCCGATACCAGCGGGCCCTTGCTCTGCCCCCCAGAGACAGGGGGCTCCTCAGCTCCACAGAACCCTCAAGGTGAGCCCAGCACCACCACACCTCCTCTCCTGAGAAGGAGACAACCCACCTCTCCACTGGCTTCTTCAATTACACTTCTGTTTGTTCAAGAACTGCAGAAGCGCCTGGGGGCTTCCCAGAACTTTCCCAACTTGGGTATAACAAACCCCGCCATCCGAGGCACCTCCCTAAACTCTTCGGGGCAGTCTGAGCACACGCCCAGGCCCAGGCCCAGGCCCAGGCCCCTCCCCATGCCACGCTTACCAGCCCCCGGGCCTGCGCCCACCTCTGCCCAGCCAGGTCGGCAGGCTGTGAGCGCAGCTCCTCTATGAAGCCTTGTGTAAAAGTGCAGCACCAGATGCTACCCTCCCCGCTGGCACCGAGGACATCTGGGCTATCCCGTGCCGCAGGAACTCTCACTGCTCCAACTTCCACAATCCAAACGCAAACACTGAATAAATTTATATACTTTTTTTGAAATAAAGCTGATATCCCTTAACATTCTAGTTCTTGGTACTCACTATCTCAAACTCAGAAAGAAAAAACCCCCCAAAAAACAAAAAACAGGAATCCTGATCATCTGGCAAGCAAACTCCTTGCAGGAATTCAGGAAGCACAGACTCAAAGGGCGAGGATTGTTGGTACTGTCCTCAAACACAAGAGTAACACATTCCCATCTCCAGGGAGCACTTGCGTTTTCACAAGAAAGGGCCTGATTTCGAAGACTTTTCCCAAGCTCTTGGCAGGCCTAAAGGTGAGTTTCAGACCCAAAAGATGTCAAATGGACAACAGTAAGCTTTCCCATGGACCTGAAGGCATACAAGAACCAAATAGATTCACTTACTGCATCATCGAGCCCTTACTCATAACAAAAGTCTGTCCCCACCACTACCACCCCAGCAAAAGACTGCAGCAGGTCCTCATGGAATAGTAGTGCAATAAACACTTGCTGAATTAAATAAATGAAGTAGCCAAGACCTACAACAACAAAACAACCCCACTCATGCTCCAGGCACAATGCAGAGCGCTTATCCGTTTACCGGGAACCAGGTGCCGGTCGTGGGAGGGGCAGCCCATGCTGTGTTTGCCGTCCCGGAACCATCTCCCCAGCCTGGTGCCTGCACAGCCCACTGTGGAAACACCTCATCCCACAACTAAATAACTGGTTTGAATCAGGGAGGAATAATGGAAGCAGCAATTTACTTCAAAGCAACTTTGGCCCTGATGTTATTTCCCAACATAAATCCATCCACAGACACAGGCCCTGATTCACTTCAGATGTAGTCTATATATGATATTTTGTTTCAACACTGAATTTTATGTTGTCATAAAAAGTAAACCCAGTGATACTTCCTCCTCTACAACACTCTCACTCAGGCAGGGCCAGGTGTTCAGAAGACTCCAGTGCCAGGGATGGCTTTTGATGGCACTTTCCGGTCAGCACTGAGTACTGCCCTCCAGGTTTAGACTATGAATCACAACCTCCCCAGAAGAGGGAAGGGGAGGAGAGGGGGTTGGGTAAAAGGAGGAGAGGGGAAGAAAGGAAGGGAAGGAGAGAGGGAAGAAGGGTGGAAGGAAAGGAAGAGAGAGGAGGAAAGGGAGAAGGGAGGAGGGGGAAGGGGGAAGGGAGAAAGGAGAAAGATAGGGAAGAGAAGGGAGATAAACTACTTACCATACAATCCAAGAGCCATGCTCATTTTCTACCCTGGTTTAACTTTAACATCTCCCTTCAATTGTGGAGGCCAGGGAAGATCGTACACTTCAGGTACATATAGGTGAGTTTTTCACTTGGCATCACCCCACAGGTCCCATTGGAATGATGCTCAGTGCAGGCAGGGGCTGTGCCTGCCTGCCTGCCTGCCCTGTACGGTGCTGCAGGACCCAGAACAGTGCCTGGCACACAAATGCAGCTCAGTATCTGTTAAACGAATAAAATTAATCTGCAACTGCAATTCATCCTCCAGCTCCAGAAGGCTCCATGCTGGGGGACTGGTGATCTTTCTTGTGCCCAACTCCCAGGCTCCCAGTGACTTGAGGGAGCCTCCTACATACACATCCAGAGCTCATTTTTAACTAATTTCAATACACAGAGACTGAGCTGAAGAAAACACAAATTGCCTACACCTCTGATGCTTTGTGGAAAACGGGGAAGTTCCATTACATGAGCTGAGGTTTACGGAAATGTACTTAGTATCACGGACCCATATATAATTATACATTGTTTCCATACGAACAATTTACATCTTTAGGTAAGGCATGTTACATAAATTTCAAAGTCCTTTCAAAAGGAATGGGCTCTGTAGAAGAGACTAAACAAATAAAAAGGTCCACAATCACAAAGGAGTGCTTAAAGGAGATTCTGCTACTAAGTAACAGTATGGAAAAGAAACACTAAGAGAAATCAAATGCAACAAGCAGCCACAAAAAGGACAAACTCCACAAGCCTGAGGATGTAAATGTCATTCTTAGTCACAGCAGGAAAAGGCAGGTGCTCAGAAGCTTCAAGGAATCAGGAAAAGGAAACCCCAGGACCCTGACATCTCCTGCAGTTTTCACCCCAATCATTCTGGACCAGCACATGTTGTTATTCGTTGCTTAAAAACCCATGACTGTTTTTGTTGTCCAATGATCCTCTTTCAGGAATCTTTTTTAACCTCACACAAATGTAACATGTTCCAGTTCTCAAGTACCTTCACACAGATCACTTTCTTGGATGATTTTATTCCCCAGCTCCCATGAAAACAAAAAGACAAATAATAAAGAGCAAGAGTCTGCAGGGGATTGAATCAGCTAAGGATTTTGAAGGTTTCAGGGGGCTCAACAGTATAAGCACCATTTTGCAGACTAGAAATGAAGCCTGAAATACTAAGCGACTTGTTGACCTGTCCAAGGTTAGAAGGCTGTTTCTATTACAACCCACACAATACCTGCACAGCTAAGATGCTGCTTCAACCACTAATAAATTACACGGAAAAACACACCCCACACACAGGGCAAGGACTTTGTTTTCTCTATCAAGGCTATCACGTAGTCTTTAAAAACTCAGGAATTAGAGAACCGTCTTTTCAATAAATTTTCAATAAATATCTGCACTCACTCAGCACAGGCTAGGGCAAATGCTGAAGCTGACCTGATTCACATGCCAAAGCATCTTCACAGTGTCACGATCAATGAGCAAAGTGCCCCTCAATAGCATGATGAGCTGTTTCTGCCAGGCCTGCCACAAGGGCTCCATTCCTCCTTTTGATTCACAAAAGAAAAATGTTTCCAGGGCTCTTGTCCTGTATTTGTTTGTCTATTCACCTCTCCCTACCTTGCCACAAAAGTAGTTAAAGCTGTTTTTCTTAAGTATATCTGGCAATTCCCAATTATTCAAACTGGTTTTTCAATGTGTAGATTGTATCTATTCTGGCTTTTGTCCCTCTTGAGCCCCACTTCACAGATTCGCAGACCTCTATAGTCCAGAAATAAGTTTGTAGGAATTGGTATAGTCAAACTCAGAGAAAGCGCACAAAGCAAAGTCCTGTTCTACTCAATCATGTACATTTTTCCTTCCTGTTACCACCTCTAGTGGGCCAGTGGCAAGAGCCAGGTTTATGGTGCTGTCAGGCAGATGGGTAGTGGAGGAAAGGAGCCTAGATTGTCCCTGGAGCCTAGAGTTGTCCCTGGGCTCAAACAGGAAATGCTGCTGATAGAAACCACATCTCCTCCACTCCATGCTCCCCTCTACTGCTTAGTCTGTGGCCTTGAAATCAACTTCTCCAGGCCTCAATGACTTCCTGCCAAGCAAGGGTAATTGGAAGGAGCAAAGAGGCGTGGAAGAGAATGTGCTTTAGCCTCACTCACATAAGTGGGGAATCCCTGTCTGAATTAACCAGTAGGGACCAGGTCTGCAGGGTAAGTCTGTTTCCCAAATCTCCAGCAGGGAGAATGGCCTCACTCCCTGCTTTTCAGGGCAGCACTATAGTTCTCACTTTAAGATCACTCAGTCCTAAAAGTGCTTTTCAGCTTAAAGTAGACATGGAAAAGTGCTTCCCTCTCTTTCCTAGGGCTGCAGATGATTTTTTTTTTTTTTTTTACGTTTCTAACAGGGAGACTTTCCCACTCTGAGTTGTTCCACTAGTGATAAGTAACCTCACACGTTTCTTAATAAGACAGCATATTGCATGACCCAGAGCAACACTTCAGGAATCTGAGCCATAGTTCTCTCTTACATGCTAGTTGTTATTGTTAACATACATGTAAAACTGCACCAGGGTGGGCTACAATCCAGAACAAACCACCAGCCTTTAGAAGAAAAGCTAAATCATAATCTGGTTTTTGAGACCCTATAAGCTCTCACAGAGCCATAAAAACTAAACAATAGGAAAATCCATCTAATGTGGGTCCAGATGTCATAACCCCCAGACAGGAGTGGGGCAAGACAGGCTTTAAGAACTCTTGAATCATCTAAGATTCTAATTGCTGAGGAGAGCCCAGATAATCATGTTCATTGTCCATGAGTATATCTGCTGAAAAATGGACTCCAGAAAAGACTTTTCCCTTTTGTATTCAAGGGCAACAATAAAACATTTTGGCCACTGTTCCTTCATGAATTCCACAATGCACTTAACTCAGGCTCTCTGAAATGTTTCTTCTCTCCGCCTGTTAACATGTGGTGACCATAACTGGGCACTGGGAGAAAAGATCAGGAATCCACCACATGTTCCGATTCATAACTGCATTTTAAAAATAATAGTAACATATAAATGCCTTCAGTGATCCTCAGAGGTCCAAAAACCAGGTAACTATGGCCTCCAGTTCCATTTTCCAGATACGCATCACAAGTGCTATTTGGCAATGAATCACAGCAGCTTTACAACCATAAAATCAACTCAATATGTAAAAAGTTTCATTGGAAATATGATAGATATCTAAGATATCTAAGCAGCTCTGAGGGTAAAATGGACAATTCCATCCAAAAATGAAAAACAACTAGAGTAGATGCTTTTTCATCTAAACTGTTTACTCCTACCCAAAACAAAACAACTCCAAGAACCCAAACCTACAAAGACAGCTCCCACCAGGCAGTCTACCAAAGACAGCTTCACGCAGTCTTCCTTCCTGTTCTTCCTAGGTAGGCCAGCCTACTTCCTACCCCGATGAAACACTGTTCTTCAACCGGACACATTTCCAATGAGTGAAGAGTGAACTTTCTCCTGGGACAGTCTCCGGCCGGAAGAAAGAGCCCCACTCTGTCCTTTACTGTACATTCCTGGTGTACTACCTGCATCCTCAGGCTGAGGAAGGCAGGAGGACTAACAGGAGGATACAGAAAGACCCAGTATGTTGCAAACTTTTCTGTGACACACAGAAAGCAATATTTTCTAACATCTCTTAATTCACTCACAAGTGTGTGTATACCTGAAGCAAGTGTCAAGAAATAATACCTGCCCTGTCCTTACCAAGGACAATGCAATCTGATATCTTCTATGTTCTTTCTTTTAATGATGGCTGTGATCCACTAAACTGATATCCCACGAACCAATGGGACTCAGTTGGAGAGAGTTCAGTTTGAACTACAATAAATCAAAACTTACAGCTTCATTCCACAAGCCACTAATGAACCCTTTAAAAAGCCAGCAGCCCACACCACCAGGCACACTGAGGTGGGCAGGACCCTTCCCCTGTCCAGCAGCCCAGGTTTTAGCCTCACCCAACTTCCCAGCTTTTCTCAGTAACTCAAAATGACTGTCATAGGCCCTTCTGTTAACTTCTTTTTAAATTCAGTCCATTCAATCTCTTAGGCTAGCAAAGTTCATTTACTGCCCTCTGTGAAAAGTAGTATTTCACTTTTTGTCCCAAAGCGACCCACTTCAAACTTGAAGGAAAGAGAACCTTCCAGGAAGCCCAAATTAAATGACTAAGTTGGTACTCTGTGCCTATTTGTGTGGTCGATATACTCCTGTACAGTGCATGCTCACGCACGCGCGCGCACACCTATCTATCTCTATCTTATCTGTCTATCCCGTCTTAATCCCTGGCAGGCGCAGCCTCGGGTGAAATTAGAAACCAGGGAACCCCCTGGAGCCGGGGAAGCACTCATCCCCAGACAGTCAAAGCAGCGGACGGACTCTCCACACCACAGAAGTGCCTCCCAAGTCACAAAGTCACCTCCAGACCCAAGCTGGGAGGGGGAGAGGGCAGGAGGAGACAACGAACTCGAGAAGCCGCGCTCGAGCGACGGACCGAGGCACCTAGTGAAGGCCTGACCACGGCCCGCGGCTGCCCAGGCCGGCCCCAAACCCAGGGAAGGCAGGTGAGCACCCGCAGGGGGCGCCGGGTGCAGGGGTCAGATGAGCCCCGCAGCTCTTGCGGGCGGGAGAGAAGAGCGTCCCGGTCCGAGGCCTCCCCTCTCCGTCAGGACCCCTCCCGCAAGCCCCTGTGCCCCGAAGTGCCCCTATCCGCCCACTCGGGAAGTGGGCCCCCCTGCTGCCGGCAAGAAACGAGGGGAAGTAAAGAGTCGGGAGCGGGATACCCCCACCCCCACCTCCGCTCCATACCGCTCTCGCCGCTCCGGAATATCCCGCTGACGGCCCTACGGGCCCAGCACCGCCTCCCCCCGCCCCCAGCACCCCACGCGGCCTCCTTCCCTGCGCCTGCGCGCCAGCCCCAGCTGGGAGGGCGTGACAGGAGAGTGCGCGCGAGCGCTGTACGTGTGCTGGCGTGGGGGTGGGGCCTGAGCTGCCCCGCCCCCTCCTCCCCCTCCCTCCTCCCTCCTCCCTCCTCCCTCCTCCTGCTCCCCCGCCCCCGACACTGCCGCGGCCGCCGCAGGAGCCTGGCGCTCGAGCCGCCCAGCGACTCCCCCTCCCCCTCCCCCCGCCCCGCCCCGCCCCAAGCCGGGGCTCGGTGCCGGAGCTGAGTCTGCGCCTGGGGGTGAGTATGCGACCCTTCCCCAACCCCCTCTCTCTTCTTTGAGGATCCCACTGCCACCCAAAACAAAACCCCAGACTCAGCTGCGCGTCCCCTCCCTTCTGTCTCCTGCGGGACCCAGAGGTGCCCGGGCCCGCGGGACCTACTGGTGTCGCGCGCTGTCCCCAGCCCCACACCATCTTGAGCCAAATGTGAGTCTTCCGACCCTTGCTAGGGGTCCAGAGGTGCAACGCCTTCTGTCCCCACCCCTCCGGAGATCCCGAGGGGTGAGACCCCCGCCACCCTAGAGCCACTCTTATCCCACCTGCCGGGTCCAGGTGCGCCTCCCCTCCGCGGCCCTCCGGGGTTCCAGCTGTGCCCCGTCAACCTGCCGCCGCTGTGGGGAACCTGCCGCCCCCGCCCCCGAGTTTTGGATTCCAGGGTCGCCAAGTCCGCTGGCCTCGGTTTCTTTTTATTTTCTCGTGCTCCTGGGGCCGAGTACCCCCGAAGCCGACCCCGGGGCAGTGTTTCGAGCTCGGGCAAGGACATATTTCGCGGGTGCTGGCTGGCACGAGGCTGGCCGCTGCCCCCAGCCGGTCTGGGGACTGATCGGCGGGCTGGGGAGGCGGCGAGCCCCAGGAGCTTGTCGTGTCCTCTCCTTGCGCCCCACACAGTGCAGTTCATTCATGAGGCGCCCGGGCCTGCGTTGGAGGGTGCGGTGGGGAAAGGATTCCGCGCGGAACCCGGAGTGGGGCAAAGGCCCAGTTTGGGGGAGGGGGCGCGTTTTGTCCCTCCTGGCCTTCTTGACCACCTAGAGAGGATAGTCCCAAAGCTTCGGCGCCTTGTGTCCCAGAAGAGAAGGACGCTTGGGAAGTGAAGAGGAGAGGTCAGAGGGGCCGGCTGCCCTTGGGGCTCTGTGCTGCCACCTTCCTGGGTCCCCTAGGTGGAGATCTGGCCGCTGAGTACTACGCTTCCCCCGGAGAGAAGGGTGGAGGGTGGGGGCGGCTAGGGTTTTTGCCTAATACCATTCTCTATCCTCGCCCTGGGTCTGCAGCCTAGGAAAAATGAGGCTGTGCCCAACCTCTCCTGAGGAGGGACCCCCCAGTCCTACCTCCTTGTGAGTAGGGGAATGGGAGTATCTACCAGGTTCCAGTGGTGGTGTGCTGGCAGCTTGACTGTCCTCGAGAGCATCAGAGGGTCCAAGCCCTGGCATGCCCAAGTGGCACATGCCGAGGCCTGCTGTTGGCTCACCCAACTCAATCACGGTGGGTGGGTGGGGAGGTAGCAAGGCAGAAGGCAGGTGGTGGGTAGCTGAGAACCCCCTTTTGGACATCCTACAAGTTTCCTCCAATTATAACAGCCTTGGAGACCTCGGTTCAAATCCCAACTCTGCCATTCTTTAGCTGTGTGACCTTGACAAGTTACCTAACCTGTCTGAACCTTAGTTTCCATTAAAAAGTGTGTTTACCATCACTTCCTTTCAAGATTTATCATGGGGATCAAACTAGACCGCACAGGTAGAATCTGGCATCCTGCCTGGTAGTTGATCAATAACGAGTTCTGTCCTCCGAACTTCTGACCCCTTCTGACCCCTTCTCGCGTAGCACCACCCTCCCATGCTCCCACCGCCCCGGCCTGCTACGGATGGAGCGGATATAATTGAAAAGTTTAGGAACGTACCCTGCCTGTCAGTGGCAGAGTCCCAAGTGGGATATAAGCCCTTACGTCAAAACAAGAAGCCCATCCTGGCTGAGGGGCTCTATCCTATTAAATTCTATGTTTTCTTTTATTTTGATTTTTTAACAGTTTTCCTCCACTAAACCAATTTCTTTTAATTCCACACTGTATTATTAACAGTAGTTAATTTTTTAGAACCCATTATGTACCTGGAGCTGTATTAAAAGCCTTATATAAGTTATCTGTTTTCATCCTCAAACCACCACATCTGAATTATTATCCCAATTTGCAGATGAAGGAACCAAGGCACAGGATGGTGAAGTAATTTGCCAAGGTCAGGCCAGGTCTGTCTTAACCTGGAGCTTGTGCTCCTAACCACCCGGCTTTGTGCCTTGCTCCCTACACCTGCCTCAGACCCTAAAATCACAAACCTAGGGCCTGAGTGGAAAGTCTGGAAGCTACAAGCAAGAGGGAAAGCAAACAGGCAGAAAATAGGGTGTGGCATTTCTCCAGAGTTGTGGGGCAGTCCTCAGCTCTCTGTTGGAAGTGGCTCTGAGGTTGGCCCAGGCAGCAAAGTGCAGTGGTTAAGAGCATAGCCTCTGACCAGGTTGCCTGGGTCCATATCGGGATCTACCAGAGACTGGCTGCGTGAGCAGGTTATGCACCCCCCACCCCCCATACCTCACTGCCCTCCTAGAGTCGTGATGCGGAGTAGATGAGTTAATATTTGTAAAGCGCTTAGAACAGTGCCTGGCACAGAATAAGAGTTAAAGAAGTATTTGATTAGTACATTCTTTTCCTACTAATTTTATCCTCATTCGTGGATACACTTTGCCCATCCCTCTGAAGTTAATAGGGGCAGAGCAAGGATATAATTCTGTTACAGATTAGAAGACTGAGGCCCAGGTTGCATAGTAACAGAGCTAGCCTCTGTCTCCGTCTCCTCCCAATAGACATACTGCCTTCTTGTGAGCCCAAGCCTAAATTAAATCTTCCCAAGTAACTCTAGGAAAGAACTTGTAACTTAAAACTCCCCCACCCCTACAATGTACACGCTTCTTAACGGTAAAATAACAACCTTCAGTTAGCTAGAAATAAAATCTTCCATCGCTCTCTCTACAAACTTCCGGCTAAAAGCCTGTGTCAGGCTAGAGAAATTCTGGGATACAGCTGGCTCCAGCAGCCCTGTGGAATGGAGGAAATGCCCTCCTCCCCTATTACCTACCGCCCCCCACCCCAAATTCTGCCTCATTCTTTTCCTTCTCAGCTGCTCTCAGTAAAGGAACAGCCGCCCTAGGTGAAACTCAGCCCAGCAGCCCCACCCCCACAATTAAGAGCTTGGAGCAACTCTGTCAGCCAGCAGAGCCACCAGCCCTGGCTCCACCCCTTACCTGCCATGTGACCTCCTGCAAGTGGCTTCTCTTCCCTGGGTCCCTGAAAATGGGAGTAATGATCTGATTGAGACTGCCTGGCTTTCCTCAGGTGTAGGTGGAAGATCCATGCCATTTTGGAGGGAAGAGTGCTTTGTGACTGAAAAGGAGTCCCCAGATGAACATGGTGATTTCAGTTACTGAGCATCTGCCTGGACTCCCCCACCCACACTACCAGGTTCCCTTAATATAGAAACTCCGAGAATATTCCACACCTTCCCTCCAGGAGGAGAGGATGCAAAAGGGGCTGGTGCTCCGGGTGTTTGTACCCATTACATTCTGGCCTGGTGGAGCCTTGGAGTTGGGGAGAAAAATGGGCAAGGAGTGAGAATGGGCTCTATTGATTTCTGGAGTGCGTTGGCATTGGGAGTTAAGGGGGAAACTAATGTACATGCCCCTCAACTACCACAAAACCAAGATACCTATACCTACCTTTACCTTCCCCTGGTACCCTAGAGTTCTGAGCACCTTGTGTTCACACACCCAGTCTCCCAGACAAACCCACACACACACCCCCACTTAGAAGTGAACACTCACTGCATTTCTGTAGACTGCCATGCAGTCACTTAGCTTCCCACACACACCAATACACACAGCATGCACTCACAAACTGAAACACACGCGTGCCCACAGCACTCCAGTACTCTCTGGCCAGAGAACATTTCATGAGCACATACAAAGCTTCCAGGGTCTGTAGAGTCCTGTTCCAGGCACATCAGAAAAGCACTGCAGTGCCCTGAAAAGTATTCTAGCCTTAGAAAGTCCACCTAGGTTTGAGTCCCGGGTCCGTCATTTTATTAGTAGTGTGACTTTAGGAGTTGCTTAACCTTTTTGAGCCTTTGTGCTCTCATCTTAAAATGCCAGTGACATCCAACTCAGGATTGTTAAGACTTAAATGAAATCATGTATGTATTCTTGAAACAGTGATACTTGATAAATGGCACTTGCTGTAATTACTAAGTTAGTGGGGGGTGAGGGTTCGTTTATTTTTTAAGGCAACTTGGGCTGGGAAGGAAGAGGGAGGCATAAAACACAAGGCAGTTACTTTCTTAGTCTTCCTAACAGGCTTTTCAGAGACTCCCTGGGACCAAGTGGAAGGCATAAACAACGCCAGCTCCCCTCCCCCCATCTAAGATCTGGTGCCTCTTGCCCTGCAGTTGAAATGTTGGAGGGAGGCAGCGATTGGTGGGCAAGGAAAAACTCTGTGAGTCACCCCGGGGGGGCTGGGAGACACTTGCTCCCAGAGTTGCAGTCACCGATTCTGGGTTTGTTGTTCTTTCTCTTTGTCTGCTTTCTTTTCTTCCCTGGAGACCCTCCACCCCAAAGGCAGAGCTTCAGTGTTGCCAGCAGAAGGGGTCCCCAGGGGCCCTCCATTAAGACGGAGGTGGGGCAGTGATGCCACGGCCGCACTTCGGCGCCGTGGGAGCCTCCCCAGAGCCCTGCTTCGCCCGTCCCCAGGCACTTCCAAAATCCAGGCGTCTGGGCTCCCTGCCCCTTCCTTCCTCTTCCCCGCTCCATTCCCTCGAACCCTCGGACCATCTAGGGCTGAACAGCCTGGCAGTGGCAGGAACCTGGACTGGAGGGCACCACCCTAGCAGCAGGGGATTTGGGCGACCTAAGAGGCCCCCGCCCACTCCTCCTCCCTCTGCCAATGGAAAAGCT